ATGAATAGAATGAAACTGCAAACTTTTGGATAACTATCAGGTTTAATCTTGCACTCAAAGTTAATAATTCTCTGATAATAAATTTTTTTGCCTATTATCTTCACTCAACACCAAGGGTGAGTGTTTCAAGTTATATTACTAATCTTAAACATACGAGTGAGATACAAAAATTACAATACAAAAAGTCAGGCCGGAGATTTAAAAATATTTGGGAATCAAGAAAAAAGCTTGGCATATGAAGAAGGGTTGTTGGCTGTTGCTAATGAGGTATTTTATGAACAGCGTCCAGGATAGCATCAACGATGTTCAGAATGTCCTTGAGATTTGGGGGCATGTAAAGAAATAAAGCCAATTCGTGCGTTTATAGGGGGCTCAACATCAAGACGAAATTTTGATATGCATCATTGAATATTGAATTGATCAATCACTCCCCGTTGCGAAACAAGGGGGTGAAAACATACAAATATTTTCAACATTACTCGATTCCAATGTTATGTGAAATGCTCCACCTTTTCAATGGAAATAAAACTGCGAAGGTGCGAAGTCATTCCTAGTGTGCATTGTACATCGATGAATGTTATTTCGAATTTAATGACTTCAAAAACAGTTCGCATATAATTGAACAAGCAGTCAAAATGTTCCCAGCGGAGACCAGAAAACAGCATGTCTTCGGAGAATGACTATTAAAAATTGGGAAAGTGTGAAACAAAACTGGGAAGCCACAAAAGGCTTCAAAGTTTAAAATGTTAAAACTCAGTTTTTTATTTATTTGCAAAATGCTAATGATCGACAATCCGCATCGTAATAACAGCTAGAAGTAAATTAGGGCGAATACGTGAGTGAATTTTTCGCCAGACAAGGGCAGTGCTACCGCCATGTGGCGTCTGAATCCGTCTTCATTTTGAATATATATATATAGTAGGTCGGGGTAGTTCGGACACCCGGGGTATGGTCAGTCAAAATAAAAAATAAAATCCTCCTACTAGCGACACCTCGCGCTTTTTCGTCGCTCAAAACGCATCGCGTGAAAGAGCGACATCATGCGAACAACGACAGAACCAAGATTTTACATTCCAGGCTCGACAACTTACAAGGCGGTGGTTTTTGGGGAAAGGGTGTTTCTGTTGGGTCAGAAAAACGTCAAATTATAGAGTCCCATGGTGGCGAAGAATAATTTTAGCCGGAAAAGTCTGCGAACTCGGTTCTATTTTGTTTATTTGTTGAAAGTAGTTGCATTAGATCGAATAAATTCTTTAGCAGACTGCCAGTACTCATTTTTGGATTGGCAGGGTCACTTAAGAGGTAGGGTGGATTTTGAGTGGGGGAGGGGGGAGGATTTTTTCAATATAGTCTGTTGGCAATGTCAATGGGCCGTCGTCATCGAAACTTATAAATAATTATTTTTTGGGAATTAGTTCCCTTTTACAACAAAGATCAAAAGCACACTCATCGCCATATTTATATTGGGTCTCTTAGAAGTTCAGCCCGGCGTAAAATTTCATCTTACCCCGTCAAATTATTTTTTTCATATGCGTATAAAATACGCCCAAGGTTATGCCAAGAAATTACAAAATAAATACTTCTAGAGGTAGTCCTTGTAAAGAAGATATAAAAATTGCGGTTGAAAAAGCGCAAACTAAATTTTAAATTTCTAGTTTTCCTAAAACTGTTCAAACTCTTTCGAAAATTGCCCTGTTATGTCCTTTATGGGGTAAGACGGACATACTTTTTAAAATGCAAGAAAAGTGATCTGTTTAAAAAAAATTTAGGAGACATAATCCTGGGCCATGTAGGCGTTGACCGAAGTCTTATGACCGAAATCTTAGACACCATCAAGTTAATTTTGGTGTGTGTCCGTCTTTCCCACAAAGTGTCTAACTTACCCCGATATTTTTTTAGCTGAAAATCGGGCGTAAATTCCGATTCGTTGCTATGGCAACAATGTGCAAATGTGGCAAGATAGCTGGAGGGTGGGTGCATGAATCAATCGTAGAACGAATGCAGCTGCGACATTATTTGAAGAGTTATTCAAAATAACTTATTAGTGGGTCCGACTTCCCCCGACCTACTATATATATATATAGCTGTTAATTAAAGTTCGTCGCGAGCGCACATGACTGATTCATATATATCTATGCGTAAAGTCTCATGGTTACAAATGAACGTGGGTGCTATGCAAATGGCCATTACTCGAAATGCACATGGATGCAAATGTCCGCAAGTGAAAATGTACGTGGGTGCAAATATACATTTGTTCAAATGTCCACAGGTGCGATATATGATAGGAGACATATATGAGAGTGCCTAAATCGGTGAGTGGAAATGTATGGGTGTGTAGGTGAAAATGATTACGGGCGCATATGTGCCGTTACCTTTAATTCATGTCTGCTATCCATAGGCATACAAGTTGGCTGAAGTATTACCAATTGCATTTTTATAGCTTATTGAATAACAAGCAAAAGGGATCGACTCGGTCATTCAAAAGAAGAAAGTTTAAATAGTTTTTTTTTACACAGTCAAAACTATGGATTATAATGATAGTATGTTGAATTCAATGACCTAGGTCAGGGTGGTCCAAAGTTGCGAGGTTGAAGGGCCGAAAAAACTTTTGAGGAGGTCTCGCGGGCCGCAGACGGAAAAAACCCGAAAGTGATCGAAATATCGCGAGTTTATTTACTTCAATAATATTAAGAATGATAGTTTATTGTTCAAATCAGCTTATTATCATGTTGCATGATAGGTAACGTTTTTTTTTAAGAAAATTAATAGAGCCTCCAGTTATTTTAAAATTACTTCCCGAAGAGTACTGTGGTCTTTTTCGTATCTTTTCGTCTGGGTCATGTCTACACAGGACAATTCATTCTCCCGGTGAATTTTATTAACACACATCATTCCGACAGTGGGATGAGAAAAATTGATTAAATCTCGGGATCCCAATCCCAGTGGCCTAATACCTCCCAATACCTAAAACAAACTCAAAAATGTTCTGATAATAAATACAAATCTACGCTAAATCGTTCTACGGGCCGCACGGGATGTGTCCGCGGGCCGCATGCGTGCCAGGGTTTGGACCACCCTGAGCTAGGTCAAGTCAAGTCAAGTTTATTTTTTCCAACCAGTAAAAAAACATGCAAAATTATAAAGAAAAAATGATATTTAAATTACTGGGGAAGGGAAGCCGCGGGAAACCAAAACTGGTTATCGAGCTGCGACACCCAAGGTTCTAACACCTAGTTTGTCAGATCGGGGAGAAGAGTTTCAACGAATAGATACCATATAAATTTTGGACCTCCAGAAGTATATCCACCAAGATGGCGCACAACCTGAACATAGTATGTGTACCGGGTTAGGGTTCAGGTTGTTCGCCATCTTGGTGCACATACTTCGGGAGCGCCTAAATTTTACTAATTAGCTAACTAATTTCAATTGTTATATATTATTACTAGAAATTACCGTGCATTAAATGTGCCATAATAGCAGCGAATAACAGGGTATTTCCCGTTTTTAGTTCAGTGGTTCGAAACGCTCGCGAGCCTGCCGAACCCCTACGTCTAACTTCTACTAGGAACTTTCGTCGAACCTCAACGTTTTGAACTGCAATCAGAATTTTATAAGGAAGAATCTAGTTTTGTACATGGTTGTAGAAAATGGAACCGCCTTGAATGGACAAGAGTACAAATGTGTGTACCAATATGGATGTAACTCTTTTTATTCGCCAACTTTACATCAAGTTGTGTAAAGGGACTGAATCCTGTGGGTAGGGTACGAGTATTCACTTGGCTAACAAAGACAAAGAAAACAGGAAGAATAGGAATGAAATTATGGCCTAACCCTAACCTGGTACATACACTACGGGAGTACTACGGATTTGTTGCTTCAATATTGCACATAGGTCTAGTTTGGGGGTTATATATAATGGACATGTAATATTGAAGTATCAACAGGCTCGTCCATGGGACATATTCCTTTGTCTCATTCCCATAGCAATCATGCCTGTCCCATCCCATGGAAATCCCATTGGAATAAAATTCAATAAAAATTGTTAAATTTAGGTTGATCGTTAACTTGTAGTAAGTTGCACTACATGTACGAATAGACTTACAAAACAACAAAATTTACGGTCTTTGTTAACTTTAAATTCATAAATAATATGCATGCGTCCATCAGCCCCTTCACGAAGTATATTGTTAATGCTGAATACATTTTGCTCTTTATAACTAACAAGAGTGAGCTATGATCAAATATATGGATGGACAAGAAGTACACAAAGTAAGAATATCGCGTACACATGCTAGCGCCGCCGCCCACATTTTGATTGAAAACATTTTACAGTACAATTATTTTATTTTGTTTCTTCGTAATCGCGACTATAAATTACAATCGACGTGAGAAATCAGCGCCGACTAGAAGTACCGATAACACGCGTAACACCTTATTCGAATGTGAAAGTATTTTACAATTATTACCGCATATTTTCCAGATAGTGTGGGGCGGCAACGACAAAAAATCAAAAGTAAATTTTGTCGTAATTAATTTATCCTCAGTTTTGATAGTGGCCGAGTATAATAGGAACCTTTTGCAATGAAATAGCTCTTATTAATAGTATTTAGTATCTATCGCTGATTTTACTGGCGACGTTAATGATAATACCGTTCAGTTTAAGTTGGTGGTACTAATTTTTAAGCAAAAATAAAACGCAGACTTGAAAAATGAAACATGATTTTCGGTAGTTACCGTATACTCATTAGCGGCTGTGAATCGGGTTTACTTATTTGATTATGATGATCCCGTTACAAAATTTTCGTTTTTCTGGCCTAACGTAGTTTCGTGGGCAAAATGAAAAGGTATGCGTACAGTAATCATAAACTGCGAACCGGGCTCTCAGAGTTAACACAAGCTCAACTTTTTTTATCCGAGTATACTATGATAAAATACATTTCAAGTTCCTATATGAACTTTACCCACTGTGTTCCTAATTTCTATACAGAATTCCATTTGAATCATAACCTACATTTTTTATTTACACTCTATGAACTTTTTTTATTGCTGATGCTATGTCCAAATGTAAACCCATTTACAGCAGACGAACATAGGTCAGGTGGAGCCTTGATTGCCTTATCAGTCTTTCATACTGAGTGACCCACACCAAACAATGAACAACCCATTGCTATTAGTCAACCGATTTTCTGTAGACTCAAAATTTCTCGCGGTAATGATAACATCTCTCTCAACATTTTTATGTTTCTTGATAAACACACAGCTTACATTTTTGATCGTTGATCTAAAAATACGAAAATTACGGTTTTCATGAGTAACCTCGACATTTAAAATTCGGTAATTCAAACTACAAATCTGAAATCTAGCTGTGATAAAACACACCAAGCATGCACACCAAGACATTATGATGCATCACTTACAAAACAATTTTAAATTTTTATGGAGAAATAGATTTGTTTTGTCAACCAGAAAATAAGCAAAGGTGCATTAAAATATATACAAAAAGGTACTCGGCATTTACTGAGAGAAGCGATACGATACGGATACGACCATAAGGTCAACAGTGTCAGCTCTCGCCAAATTCACTATTAATAGTCACAGTTAATGGCATAAATTCTCTTGCAGATTAGTAGTCAGAAAAAAACAAATATTCGGTTGAGTCATCATTCATATATTCGATGTGGTTAATTCATTCAGGTAACAATTTATAACAAGTTGACATAGGCGGACAGAAAATAGGGATCACTAAATTTTTACGAAACTATAATGATTTCTGCCATGTTCTGCTGAACATGAACCACTTCAAAATATATTCAGGACAGTAAATTATCAAAAATTAAGAAAATGAATAAAATAATAAAATAGGAAAAAATTCATGAACTATTTGAACTTGAGTTTGAATAAAATCAAGCAACTGGGTGCTCAAGAAATCGAGATATTGATGTTGCAAATTCAAATTTTGAAAGTATTTAAGTTAAGGTAGAAAATTGAAGTTACCCGATAATAAAATAGAGAGAACTCATGGCCAAATCACATGCAGCATTGTCTTCGTCAGATGAGAGTATGATTGAAAATTTTCACCATTACTACACTACATTAATTTCCATGCTAAATATACACAATGAAAAGACAATATCATAATTAGACAGCAAGATTCAATCATCAAAGTAAATAGGAATATGATAAGCTTGATTAAAAGCGAGCAAACAATACACTTCAATGCCAATCATGGGTATTTGATAGAACATGGTACATTGCAGGCTAATTTCTTTCATCAGATAATATATCAATGTTTATATCTCCGCATTCTATGGGTATACCAATGGTACATACAGCCTATTGGTACAATTCTAGTGAATTTATTCTAAGTGAAGTGAAATTTAATTCATATTTATTTTTGATGTTGTATTCATACCAAAATGGCTGTGAATTTCTCTTCAAAGAGAAGAGGAGGAAATGCATCCTAAACTAGATTTCTTGATTAACATTTGAGATATTTTTTTCAATAAGTCAATATAATAGATTTGCTAATATTTCGAACCAAAATAATGATGAATTACATTACAGAAGACTTACTTAGTGAGCAACCTAATAAACCTGACATATATAAATAAAATTAGTATTGATTTAATTTATTCAAAGTTCCAAGTACAGGTGAAATAAATGCATTTTAAATCATGTAAATTTATAAAAATTTAGCTCTTTATATTTGCTCGAATTTAACATTTAAGTAAGACTATTATATTCCAATGAATTCTACAATATACATGTTCTATCTCCACAACAGGGGTACCCTGATGATTTCTAGAAAATGTGACAGGGTGACCATCAAAGAACAGAACCCAGGTCATTTTGAACATACTAAAAAGAACATAACTTTCGTGCAAAGCTTCTAGATACTGAAACTTCCTTGTGCAATCATAGATAATACAGAAGTTCAAGAGTTGAAAAAAATTTGAAAAGTATTTATTGGTTCTACTTTATGGGTCACCCTGTGATGTAACTAGCATTTTAAAAAAGCCTCACACAAGAATATCAATAACTGATAATTCAAACAAAGATATGACAGAAAAATTGCACAATAAAAATTAATGAAATAACAATAAAATTGGTTCAAATCAAAATTTTATATAACAAACAAAATCTATTTTCATAGAATTCCAACATCTTGCTTTTTAATTGGTAGGCCCACCAAACAGTTTTGAGTGTAATCGCCAAAGGTGCATTTACTGGAAACATACTCAATTTTCAGAATATATATATATATATATATGAAAGAATATAATGAACCTTCAAAAAGCGGTATATAAGCAAAAAAATAATAATAATTAAAAGGCTCTTGAAACGAATTAAACATTATTTCCACAAATAAATGGAGTTCAAAGAAATCTAATGCAATTAACAGGCCTCTTTATGAGTGAAATGCACTGTAGCTGTAAGAGATGGCCAAAAACAAAAAAATTTACTATACTTAATATGGATTATCACATATAACCCAAATCTGTATGTCAGATAAATTTTCAAAAGTCAAATCGTATAACTATAGAAACTGAATTTGATAATGTACAATTGTTGAGATAAACAAACAGCAGCATCAATGCTTAAAACAACATAATTTAAAAAGAAATCTCCTCTTTTTCAGTTAGACTCAAAATTTGGAATCTTTTCAAATATTCTATTCATTTTGGACATGCTTAATTACCGATAATATAAGTAGCACAGAAAGACAAAATAGAGTATCCAGAATATGTATAAATATTGTTTACCATAGCTGTGCTCTAGACAGGTGTAGTTTGAAATTAAAAACTGCCATTATGAGCTCAGAATCATAATTTTCATACAAAATGAGCCAAATTGATTGCTACATATCATTAAGTCTCGGTGGTATTCAGAAGATATGGGAACTATCAGAACCATGCTTATGAAGGACGTTTTATTGACTTTAAAATTAGAATTCTATCTGCACAATTTTCAAAAGTATCTATAATTTTTAGGCATCGAAAAATTAGCCAGAATGGTTCATTATCAATATCGACAATAGATATAAGCAAGTCTTTGAGTCTGTGGAATTTGGAACATAATTATAGGAACCATCAGAACTATGCTTATGCAGGACATTTTGAACTCCTTGATATGAATAATTGATAATTTTGCTCTCAAATTATTAGCTGGACAATGAACATAGTGGTATAGTGTGATTTAGACATAGACAATTGTGGAACATATTCAATAACAAACAATTTTGAAGAGAAGGTCAAAAATATATTATAATATAGTGATGTCAAAAACTATGTAATATCTATATCAAGTTTATTTATCAATTCAAGCATAATATGGTATGGATTGTCTGGTTGTGCAACAGCTTTAAAAATCGAATGGAATGAGCGTCTGTCCAGTTCAGCTGATAATTGATTTGTATAAAAATCCTTCGCTGAAATGTAAAATTTTTCAAAGTTTGCTTCGGATGGTGGAAGGTGCATTTCACTCAATACGATCGGCAGTAAAGAGTTGATCCAGTGATTTGTAGACGCACTGACGAAGATGCAAGTTAAGCACCATATTGCAGTAGATATCGGAGTTCTTTGAGTAAAATTTCCGAGTGATAACATTACCCATTCTGAAACAACAGCGCTTTCGCCTCGGCTGTGTAATATTTGAAATACATGATGAAGTAAGGTAGCAATAAGGTCTGGGAAAGGATGGAGACTCGAAACAAATTCACCGATCACTTTATTCATCATATCTTGAGTAGAAAAGAAACTGTCCAATAATAGCGGCAAAACATGAATCAAAACTATCGACTCTTGAGGAAATCCACATTTAATTTTATCAAAAAGTAAAGTAATTCTTTCCATAGACAAAAGCCTTGATTCTATTGTTTCATCCTCTGTGGAGCTTATCTCCGAAACTCTCATCAATCGAAAATACATGCACGTGATTGTTAAATTTAACGAAGTTAAAACACGGATAGATGATTCACTAGCTGTGAACTGATCAACGGCTAACTTAGCAATAGCGTCACAATCACTGCCAGACAAACTATAACTGGTTATAAGCGTTTCCAGGCTTCGTAATATCGACACGTAAACATCATTCGGAACAGAATTTAGTTGTGGTGAACCCAGGATACTTATTGCCCCTTGTATAAATGTTTTAGTATGAGCAGGTGTCAAAAAATCTTGCCAATTTTTGATGAGAAAAAATCCGATTGATACGACATTGCGTAAAAACTGCTGTGAATAGAAAACCACCCCAGAATTGATGTTTTTGAACTTGTCGCATACAAACTTTGATATCAAGCTGACTAAAGGACGAGCATATTCTTTCAATTCACACTCGAGGATGTAAAGAGCACCATACAAAGCGAACGTCGGACAAGAAATCAATGTTGAGCCTAATGCAGATTCCATCATTCCTTGTAGTATATCGCAAATCTTTTTATTAATTCCAAGCACAGCACCGGATTTACACATTCCCAATACAAGATATTGCAGCATAATGTCATCTTCCGGAGGCTGAACTAGCTGCAGCGAATTCAACGATGTAAACATCCATTCAAATTGTTGACGTTCTGTGAAAAAATCTGACACAAGAATAAGAGAATGAATGCAATCGCACAAAAACTGACGCGGAAGTCGCATCACAAATGAAGGAGCATTCCCAGACTGCTGATTCTGTGGTGACATTGCGCTCGCTGAACGGAACCATTCGGAAAAAAGATCGATTAGAAATTGTACGCAAGAGTGAGCATCGACAGAATTTTGTTCTACTCGTACACGAGGAGGGGAGGGAGTAATGACGTTCATTTCTGTTGCTACATCACTGGCTTCGCTGTTCAAATCATCACTCGAAGTTACAGCACCGAAATTCTCATCATCACTCGAGAGTTCACTTGTCTCCTCTTCTAGAGGTGAAATATCATGTAACATCCTAAAGGACTTCACCGACCTTTGACCTATGCCGTAATAAAGAGGTTTCATCTCTCGTCTTTCAGGATTTGCATACAACCTTGATTTGAGAACCTCATTCGGTACTAAAGAGGATTCTGCAACTTTCAAGTAGTTTGTCGCAAGTTGAAAAAAATTGAAGGTTTCGTGAAGTTGGTCACCGAAAATGACATCTCGAAGAGCACGTTCTATGGTACATTGTATAACATGAAGATCATGACCTATTTTGGTTTCTGGCAACACAGGAGACGAAACACGAGGAATATTTTGAAAAGCACCAAACGCAGGTTTCCCTCCATGCGGTTTCATACAAGTATTCATGACTAGAGCTGTAAGACCACGAATAGTTAAACAACTAATTTGAATGGCGTTTTCATCAAGAGGAGTGGCATTTTGACTGCTATCTCCAATAGGTTGAGAAACTAGGACACCCAACAGACTAGTCCATGTCTCTTCAAATTGCATTCTACTGATCCAACCTAGACTGTTAATGCGACCAATATAATCCTTTAACATGTCTTTTTCTTGTAAATATTCGCCAGGTGGTTCATGTGATAAGCTTTCAATTTCTTTCTCGTTCATATCGTTTTTGAATAGGAGTTGAGGAACATGGGCAAGATTATTGAAAAATGGATGGCAGAGCACAAGTTGAACAGCCCGCTTAAATGGGGCATTCAAAACAGCTGGAATAATATTTAATCCAGAATTTGATATTTTATCAAACAGTCTGCAAGTTTTAACCACAGCGAATGTAGGGGTTGATTTATTGTTTAGACAACGATATGGGGATTTTGAATCATCAAAATGCTTATTGGCAACTTGAATATTCCCTGCGTATGCTTCATAGAGCAAGTTTAGACAATTCGCAATAGTCAAAGAATAAGATAGATTGTCATTTGCATAAAACTGCTTCTGAATTTCAGGCTTCTGTTGTAACACTTGTTGCATAAACTCGAGGCAAACTAATTGTGCATCAATTTCAATTTTCATTCCACGAAGAATGGAACATATTAAGAGTTCATGACATCCAACAGCCAAACGTAACAAATTTTCACTCAAAGTTTCAAGTTTTTGAAAAGGCTGACCCACAATATTTCTCCAAATGAGACACCTTGTAAAAGCTTTGCAAAGAAGAATCATCAGATCTCTGTTTTCTCTCTTCTCAAATACAGAAAACAGTTTTTGCCAGTAAGCTGAAAGCGCAGGATAATTTTGATCGTCAATCACAAAAGTTGGTTTGTCAAAATCTTTTGCAAAATCTGTAATGGGGGTAGGTGGTAACTGTCGCATAATGCTTTCAAGATATTCTATTAAAACTTCTAAGGTTGCATTTAAAAGTGGAGACGTGATATCGTTAGAATATCTTGCGACAGCATCATCCGGTCTTGTAATTTCCGATATTGCAAACCTCAAACATTCTTCGAGATAATTCATATTGAATGATTCGATCCGTATTATTTCTAAAATGTCTTCGTAATCTAGAACGTTAATTGCTTCGACAACATGGTTGGATTTATGACTTCCCTTAGTAAATGAAGAAACAAGAGCTTTATACCATGATTTGTTTACCTCCTGGGGTTGATGTGAGGCAACTATTTTCGTTGTTTTATTACTAGCATTATCCTGGCCATTTACAAGTATAGCAAAGAGTCTTTTTCCCAAAGCAGCGAGGCGCCCAAGCCTTGAAATAGACTCACATTTGTCAAATTTCGGTTGAAGTGACTTTAGGTGCAAAATGAGTTGTTCTTTCCGTGGGCTATCATGAGCTTGAGTGAGCATCATCTCAACTCTTCCACAAGCTAGTCGATCACAAAATTCTGAAATTGCCAAAATCGGTGAAAACACGAACCAGTCTTCTGAGAGCAATAGTGACAAAAGACTATCGGATTGGTTGAGGTGCATACCCCTGAGACAAAACAGTACTCTTTTTTTAAACGACGCCCTGAATTTGGTTCCCGAGGATAATAACGATTTCAATGATTCTATAAAAAGTCCACTTGCTGGTGAGCTGCGATGGACAGCGCTTATAAAATCTTGAATCGGTGGCTCACTTTGAAGGCTTATTATTTCTCGAGTATGGTTAACTATAAGCCAGGACATTATTTCAACTTCAGACTGGTTTTGACAGATATAATCTGCCAGCATTATGATAGATCCCTGCTGTACCATTCCAGTGTTCAAAGGTGGTACGTACTCTGCCGTTTCACGACTCTGTTTACTTTTACCGGTCAATTCTCCCCACATCGTAAGATCTGTATATCCGATGCAAGTTAACAGTTGTGACCATAGAACAGTTAAAATTGGAAATTTGCTCGATAGAAGATTAAAGTTTACACATAATTCCTCAGTAGAGTAGAAATTTTTGTTCTTATCCTCACGAGACAATAACAGCCTTGTAGAGTGAGTGAGACGCTTGAAAGATCCCGAGCGATAAATATAAGTCACTGTGAGCAAAAACTCACTGAAAAGTTGAGACAAAAGTTCGTATGATTTTTCTTGTCCGAATAATATGACAGGATTGAATAATTCATCAACCATTCGTTCAGTTGTGAATCCTATTATTTGCAAAAGAGTTGAAGCAATGACCTCTTCAGGCGGAAGCACATTATCGCCATTTTCAGAAGCCTGTTTTTCATCATTTGCGTGAATTTCATCAATAGATTTCAAAGATCGCAATAGCTGATTAGAAAACATGAATGGATCGATTTGCATTTCTTTTACTCGGAGGAGCAAATATTCCTCTTTGAGATGGCACAAAAGTACTCGGAGTAGAGATACAGTCTTCGCTATCCATCTCTGATGATAAGCCACAGTTCTTAAATCGGAAGGCAACAGGAAAAATATATTTAAAACCAAGTCAATAGGACGCAATGCGGTTGGTGACAAGGCTTCAAATAGACTGTGCAAATATGCCATGTCAGAATGTTTTGTAATAACTAGTTTCAAGTGTGATATAAGAGGCAAAAGCACATCTGTAACTTGTCGTGAATATTTTTTCCACTGTTCCGGATTTTCTTTTCTATAATATTGTAGAATTGTTGTCACCATTGATAAAACTTCTGGATATTCAATAATTCTAAAAAGCATGCTTTGTGTTACTTCACGTTGAGTATCAAGATCTGACGTATTATCATGTTTCATACCAGCTCGCAAAACAAAAAGATCATGTACAATTGGTTGTAGTGCCGGAATTGTATGAGTTACAGTATCACATCCACTTGCCATTATGCCATCACACAACTGAATTATTTTAGGCATTGTCATAACGCTTTTTGAATGATGCTTTTCATATGAAAGGAGAACTAGAAAAAAGAAAACATGCGGAATCAAAATATCTGAATTGCGCACTAATCCACCTTCAATGGACTCAAATTGCTTAATTATAAATCCAATAAAAATTTGGTCAGAATCAAGTAAGCAGTAATTGACCCGCAATTGCACGAGTTGCGCAAGAAGGTTTAAAACATGCTTCTGTAAATTCACGGAGCTTGTCATCGTGTAATTTTTCAGTGATTTAATAACAATCGACTCAAAGAGACGAATATAATTCTGAATCGACATTTTATCTCCTTTTGAACGTTTCGCAGTCAAAGTTAGCTTTTTTTCGACTTTTTTCTTAATGGATCCAAACCAACCTGAACTAGCTTTTTGTGTGTTTTCTTGCTGAAGATAATGGTGAAAAGATGCATTTGCAATTGCCATTGTAAGATCGTTTAATGGCCTATGAAAAACTTGATGGTAAAAACTAGCTTTGTAATGCTGTTGATCTTTTCCATGAGTCGGTAATGGTTTGAGTTTGATTTGATCATCAAGATCAAGCTGGCTAACCAAATTCGTTCCAAATAGACTTTTCAAAAGTTGTTGAACAGACTGAACAGTCTGTGTGGGTTCTATGGTAAAAATGGTTCTTAAATACATCAATAAATCTTCAGTGTATTTTTCAATGTCTTCAAATGTCGTGATCTCAAGAATTTGACAGAATACATCCAAAACTGCTTGTAATAATATGCAAAATCTATCATTTTCATCTCCATCTAGAGTGGTTTTGAAACTATCATATGCACCGACTAGGAAATCATGAACCTTCATATGAAGTCTGGAATTGGCAAAATGAAAAGGAGAGTTCTGCTTGGATGGTTTCTCCTTTTCAGCTTCTTCTGGTAAAACTGGAGATTTTCCAGCTGATCCAGTCTTCTTATGCATTTTTTGCTCAGTTGTAGAATTACCATCTTTTACCTCAATTTTGTCTTTTTTCTTCAAAGTGTTTGGTAGCGAAGGTGTATTTTGTAGAGTTTGAAGAACACTTTTATTTGGTAATGATGGCACAGCATCAGAAATAACATGATGAAATATAGATATAAGTTTCAAGATATGATTGAACAACTTCACAGCCAGAATCCCAATTTTATGATCCGACAGTGATGAAAGTGCATTCGGACTTTCAGTTGTAGTCGATCCTTTTATGGGTATCAAAGCCTCTTGCTCACCGAGTTTAGGATTAGGGCCAATAGTTTGAAAGCTGTGATATGCAATACCGGACATGTAGTTCCCTGCTAGTAGCAATACATTCGCATGTGTTGTTATTTCAAGCGGAACCCAGGCAGAATCTAACATAGTTAAAAGCATTGTTATAATACCTGTATGTTGCTGTTGAGTTTCAGAAATATTGGCTTCAACAGTTTGAATATTATAGAAACTACAATCATAAGAAACAGGGTGCTTTGATACAGAGTATTCATTTGAGAGTGTAAGAAGGGCGTGTATACATCCCTGAGTCAAAGGCTTAGAAATTGATCCCGCTAACAGAGATGTTAATTTGCCGACAATGACAGAAAGATTATGTGATATTAGTGAATTTTCATCAATTTTTTCATAGCCCCTGTAAATTTTTAACAAGTTTTTTACGGTTCCTTTTTGTGTCGGGTCAATTGAAGCAGGAGAGCCAGCCGAAACACTAAAACTGTTACAAATCACAGCAGCCTCTGATGTTGTCATATTGCACGTTAAAGAATCTATAACAAGACCACCATTTGTCACAATCTTTACGAGCATCGCCGCTGACGTTTTACGAACTCTGACATCTCTATCGCCCAAATATTCAAAGCACATATCAACTATTTCCTCATAAATTCGATTCAATATCGAAAATACTTCTAATTTCGGGATTTCCTGCGTTGATTCCGAAGCAAATAAAATCTGTCTAAAGTTTATATTTCCTAGTAATTCCATGAGGTCAACTTTAACAAGCCAGTAAGTCGTATCCTTAAGTTCCAAAATGTTCCCCAACAATTTTACTCCTAGATTGATGAAATCGGACCTTAGCAAATATCCTATACAGGTTTTCACAGCTTGAATACTAGCTCGTAAACAAACAAGAGATTCATCTTTTAATCCATCAGAAAGGATATCAACAAGCTTTTCAAGTGATACATCATCTCGATTGTTACCTTTAAAATTTTCACGGAGCCAAGAAGTGTAATTATTCTGAGATAATATTAATGACGAAGCAATGTACTGTGAAACTGCCATCACAGTGCAGCCACGTATCTGTGGGTCATAAAAAGATTTGAATGATAATATTTCTGATACATGACAGTTTCTATTGTCGTAAACCGACATAAACATTAATTTAGGACGTAGCTTAAAAATCAACCCAATACATGAAATAGTCAAATTCATTGCACTCACACGAACATCTTTAGTAGATTCTGATCCTATTTTCAAAATTCTCTCACTGAGTATTCGTACAAACATTTGTATTGGATCTGCTTCACAATAAAGATTCTTGAGATTGTTGAAATAAATTTCCTCAGAGAAGTTACCTGTATTCTGTTCAACATCTGCCTCTTCATGTGTTATGTCTGATGATGGCTCATTGATAATAGCATCAGGTTTAGCATCATTAGATTGCACAGTAGATATAGGTAGTTCATTCTGCTGTGTTGACACATCCTCGGATGAAATACCAGCTTCATTTAATTTTTCTGTTACACTTGTCATCGCGTCCTCAATTGTATTATTTTCAGAAACTGGTGTCTCTATAGTTTGAGAAGCATTCGTACCACTGCTATCAAAATCGCGGTCCTGGTTCGTGGAACTTTGCTTTTTTATTCCTTTCGATTTCAAAAATGTGACTAACGACTTTGAAAAAACTGTTTCTTTGATAGGCTTTGCTTCCAGTAACTCCTTTAGTGACGCAGATGGCAACTTCAACAAAATTTGTAAAGTCTCGAGAGAAGCTGTTACAACATTTGCTTCTTTGAAGCAAGAAAAATGCACACAAAGCTCGAAAATTTGCACAATTATATCATCGAAAACAACGTCAATTTTTGAATCTTTATCTGAACCAAAACTGCCAGTTCTTCTTGTAATTTTTGTCCCTACACTTGCAAACAGAGGTATCAAATACCGTAAGATGATAAGACTTCCTAATATGAAATTGACATCAAAATCTTTGGTTGAAAATGATCCAAGTATACTAGAAACAATGTTGAATAACATAACTTGCTTTTTACTTGAGTTGCTCACAACTTCGTAAATACATATCGAAGACGTCCTTCGAATCGCTGCAGAGGGGCTCGATAAATTTTTCATCAGTGCGTCTATAAAACTTTGCAATTCTGCTTCCGCGGCAAACGATCCAATTAAGGGAAATATTTTAGAGACAGATGCAGATAAACATTCTTGTATGCTTTCGTCATTCCGTTCGCATATTTTTATAAATGGTGGAAGAAGACTAACAACATATGGCCTGCATTTGCTTGGACGAATCCTGTGTGCCAAACTGGAGAAACGTACAAGCGCAGTTCTCAAACTACGACTTGATCCGTTTCTTTTAATTTCTTTGTAAAACTCAATCAAAACTTTCCCAAAATGCAGTTCTTCTGTTCCTTTTATGATTCTATTAATAGATTCCTCAGCTGCGATTCTAACATCAGCCTCAGCATCCTGACAACACAACAATAGCATTTCAATAGTCACACCCAATAATCCAGAATATTCATTATTGCCTTTCACAGGACTGGACAGTATGCTTTCCGCCATTGTTTTACAGCATTCCTGTCTTTCTGCCTTCGTCGGCATGGGAATCTGCTCCTTTTTATTTGCATCTGTTGTCTCTCCGCCATAATACTGTTTTATATTATTCACAGATTTAACAAGTTTCTCCATTTATATAAACTCTTGTAAGAAATCCAGTCACAAAATTACTAGTACCATCTACTTCATTACTTGGAAAATGATAGTTATAAAGAATTACATTGTGAAACTGAAGAAAAAAATTATTTTATGATAAAGTGTGAAATGAGTTATCCCAGCTAACCAAAATAGTATGGTACATAATCAAACACAATGACAAAGGTGTTCACATACGGCGATACCGGTACTGTAATACCTTGAAATTTACAAGTCCCGAATTTTAATTTTTGCCTATATTATTACCAGATATTAGGATAGGATTTACATATTTATCCCGGGGGAGAGAAGAGGAAAGCCGATAAGACAGCTTAACCATCCCATACCCGACATGTAATGGTAACCGGACGAGTGGTCGTGGTTCGCCATATGGTTAGAGAGGAAGAGAGAAATTTTATTTCCACAAAACAATGTTAAAAAAGGATAACAGTACATATTTTTATGAAAATACAGTGCAGTGGATATTTAAACATTGAATTGTGATGGTCAGTATGCAAGGAATTTACAGGTCACGGAGGCTCCCGACCATTTTATTTACGCTGTGATCAAACTGTCAGCATGGATTATCACACTATGAAATTATAAAATAAAGACAGAAAAATGAAAAACGAGTCGGCTGATAAAGAAAAACTTTCTACTATTCAACACCCTACATTAGATTTATTGTATAGTTCAGAGGGCATGTGTAAAAACTTTATATATATTATACTACACTTTAATTAAGTACAATACTGATCCCATCCACAGAACCTGGTTCCCTATAGAAAAGAGAGAATTATTTGTTATTTTGTCAACCAGAATACAAACAGTCAACTTTACGAAAAAAATTTGGCAAAATTAAAATAAAAATTGCTTTGGTATGGACAGGTGGGAGCGATACGCCCATGCGATATGCGGTCATCAAAGTCAACTCCTACCCTATTTGCTGATGTGATTATGATGTTGGTCTGGCAAATAATACATTATTAAATTCGATATATGGTAATCACAGAAAAACTTCACATTGGGGGAGGGCATATTTTGTTGAAAACTCATTTAAACAAAAAAATTCCGTGGGCTTTAGATGATGTTAAACAATAATATATACAAACATTCGATATATGAAAAGAGCAAAAATAAAGATATATAGTCTACTGATACCGTACATTGATATATATGAGCTATGCTGTATACCGTATAAGTGGATGGTGAACTCGAAAAATGTGGTAGAAATGTACCGTATCACCAGCATGACAAAAGATTAAATGCAGCTTAGTCAGTTAGTAGAATTCCTAACATATTTAAGCCAGTAATAAAATATACTACAGTATATGTAAACAAAACACAAAGGAAATTTCTAATTGATCACCAAGCCATCTTATCACTTTCCTCTCCCCAGGAATACGGTAAATACAGAAATACCGGTATGTAAATCCGGGTATGGTGCAGTTTAGTACCACATGCACTTCTAGTTGGCCTGGCTCAATAATTTTTTCATATCCCACCTGACTACGTCACTGAAAAATTACGTCATTTCGACGTCACATTGGCGTAATAAGGCCCACCAAAGTGTGCGAATGATCGTCCAAATCGCGCAGATGATCGTCCGAAATCGAGCAAGTTATTTCTCTCGTTTTCCAGTCATAATGATCACGATAGGAGAGAGATTGCCGGCGTTAGCGACTTCTAGTCTCATGTAGTTTCGTACCTAACGTACTTCTAGTAGGCGTAGCATAACAATGTTTTAACATGTCAATCCTAACCCCCACCTGACCACACCATCCAAAAATTACGTCAGTACGACGTCACAGTGACGTAATAGAGCCCTTCAAACTATGCGAACTGTCATCCAAGATTCAAAGACGCGCAGACGAGAACCCGAAATCGAACAGCCATTTCTCTCGTTTTCTCGTCGCAACGATCCCGATAAGAGAAAAACCGCTGACGTTAGTCAGCTCTTTATCGTCGGCGCCGATGCCATTTCGGGCGATCGTACGGGTATTTGGCAAGCTCTATTACATGATTGTGACGTCGTAGTGACGTAATTTTTGGATGGCGTAGTCAGGTGAGACCGTGAGGGTTAGAATTGGCACGTCAAAAAATTGGTATGCTACGCCTACTAGAAGTTCGTTAGGTACGAAACTAGTTCGTTATTTGCGCGAGTTCGTTACCGGTATCGGCGGCGCAGATGCCATTTCGGGCGATCGTAATTATACCTTGACAAGCACTATGACGTGTTTGTGACGTCGTATTGACGTAATTTTTGGACGGTATAGTCAGGTGGGGGTTAGGAATAACATATGCAAAATTCATTTTGATACGCCAACTGGAAGTACTTGTGGTACTAAACTATACTAGACCCGTAAATCCTATGCTTTATTGCCTACCTACACTTAACGTTGAACCATTACCGGTACCGGCACTATTGTATTATAGGTAGGTACCGGTACCAAACGCAATTTTACCCAATAAACTAGCCTTACCGGTACCGTACCGGCTTACAACTAATATCACTTCAGTCGGCACTAAGTAAACGCTAATCACAGAATCGGGTACCGGTAGGGGTTGTCATTTTCTCGAGCATAGATATCACAATTTCGCAGAGCGATTGCTTTTGTGAGTTTCATTACTGGCACCGGTACCGATGAGACTTTCTGACTTTCACATTTTTCCACTAGAGGTGGGATTTACAGTATAGGATATGATTTACATATTTATCCCGGGGAGAGGAAGGTCGATAATACTATGGCGAACCACGGCCTCTCGTGAGGTTACCATTCCATGTCGGGTACGGGTACCGGTATGGGATTAGTTAGTTCTGTGGTGAGGATATTTATTTTCGGAAGCAAGGCTGCATGGACTTGAAACCGAAAGGTACCGAAACTGGTCGGATACCGCACATTTGTGAAGAGTCATATTGTTTATTGCAATATTGTTTATTTTATAAAAATCCAATAAAAGAGAAGAGTCAGCTTCAACAATGGCTACCGGTACTGATTAATTGACGACGAAAAGCCTTTATTCTAGGGCAGTAGGAAAGAGAAAGAACGAAAATATGGCTTTGTCATACGGAAAAACAAACAACGGCCTCACTTCCAGTTACATGACCCATGTCCGGTATGAGGATAGTTGAAATTTATTTCAAATGAAATTAATTAAAAGTACCGGTATGTTATCTACACGGAAAGTTCGGAAAGCACTGCTCTAGCTGGAGTAACAAATAGACTTCATATTTGCAAGTGGAATTTCGACAGAAGAAAGGGCACAGGTAGTGTTTCAATTGGCACTGGTCTCTGACCAAGACGGAATATTAATTGCAAATGCCAAATTACGTATTATGCATTCTTTAAAATTTTGATTGATACGTTTTGTCTTAAAAACACCAGGCAGTAAATGTTTCTTCTAAAATGTTTTTGTATTTTACAGAGGACTTGCACGGGTCACGTGACTTTGTTACCGGACGGCAATGAAACAAAAACGTCCATTTGGCTCCAGTCAGTTGCAAGTCGGATTATACGTTTCCGTTTTGTTTGGCTGTTGAAAATGGTTATTTCGTATTGTTCCGTTGGCTGTACGTATAGTATAGACAACGAAATGGATCTTCAGTTATATTCCACTGATTTCAAAAGATCCGGAACGTCGCGCAATGTGGATATCATCTATTGCATTGGCAGAACTGCTTGGTGTCAAGTCCAGAAGCCATCTTACATGTGTTTCACTGTTTGCGGACAGCACTTCGTTGATGGAGAGTGATAATGTGGTGATAGTGTGCCATTATCAATTTCTTTAAATATTCACAAGCTCCCTCATTTCAATGGAAAGCAGATGACAAACTACTGTTATTAGTAGGCCTACTTGCAATTGCAGACTTGACTTGTGTAAGACAGTAAGGAATTAATAATCAATTGCTATAAGGTATTATTTCCCTAATTAGCAGGTAATCAATTACTAAGTGTGAAAGGTTGAATAGATAACTAAAGTTGAACACCAGTGGTCATGCAAAAATTCAATAACCAGAATTCAATTGAATTCGCCATCTAGGAATACGCTCGCCACCGCATTTACGATCACCCTGGGAGTTTCACAGGTTTCATTCAATCCCAGAGAGGATTGCAGCTTTACTCCCACCGAGGGTGGTTCACATGACCGCTGATCGGTTACGACCATTCCCCACCATCCAAGTCCATGCTTCTGAAAACAAATAACGAAAGCAACTTCAAGACGATCCTATCAAGAAAAAAAATTGTTTCGGTTGGTCTGGTAGTGAAGGTTTCAGTCTAAAGTTGGACACCGATACTACAACCAGATACAGTTGCCAATGAAACTTAGCGAGGCGTAATATTGCGACTTTGTGATCTGAAAGGAAATTCTGATGGGTAGCCGGCTAGCCGCAACCTTTTGTTTAAAGAATATTATGAGATATGACTTAAGAGTCTAAACTTTTATTTGAGAGGGGTGTAACCCAAGCTAATTTGCAAATGGTATTCATGGTACCAAATATATCACACACTTTGCAGTAATTATAAATTGTATTTGAAAAATAAAGCACATCAAACATGTATTTTTAAAAAACAATTGGTTTTATCTGCAGATACTAGGTTGATATTGAGATTGACCATTTCAATGCTAAATTTTCTTTAGTCAAAAGGCACACTTGATTCGCAAAGATTTGTGAATGCGCACAGTACACCAATTTGTCTAATGTTTTGATTCCATAGGCAGGAGGTTGTGGATCGGTGCTGCTCAGGATGGGATATTTTTGCCTCTAAATGCATATTACGTGTTTCACATGAATCCATCGTGCTCAGATTTGACTGTTATCAAGGTCTGAAGGCATGGTTCAGTTGGAGTCACTAACCTCAAGATATCTATAAGCAAGGATAAGATAACCTGGAAGTAACATTCCATAATTTAAAGTAAAAATTGTATCTGCCTCCACAGCTCTTTCAAGTGGAAGATATGATGCCTCGGGGTAATTTCTATCAAATATTTTACAGTATTATGGTTCTGGTGAAAAGGGGTGTAGGCTTTTTTTTAAAGTGTGGTAGGTCTAGTCGCAAGAAACATTAAATGTTTATGCTAACAACTGCAAATTAATATTGCAACGCATATAAGTTAATACAATTTGTTGAAATGGTCCTGCCTTTTGCCTTTCTTCAAAATCCCCCTTTTTCTAACTATTCTCTTCCTCTCTGGGGATGGCGAAAATTCAAAAATCGATGGGACATATAAGCAGCTGATAATGGGTTATCTTCCCTTTTTCCTGAAAATAAATTAAACACTAATCATCATTTGACAGTGCCAA